AATATGAAGATTGGAAAAACTTTGGCGGTTGTTGTAGAACAAACAGAATAGCTCAAAACCCCAACGCCAAAACACGACACTGTAGTTGTCCGAAGCACTTTTCGGTAACAAAGTTACTGTTTACTTCAGTTCCTGAAGAAGGTAACTTTGTTACCGAAAAGTGCTTCGGACAACTACAGTGTCGTGTTTTGGCGTTGGGGTTTTGAGCTATTCTGTTTGTTCTATTTCATTTAATGCTAACTCTAACTTCTCCATGCTATGTGCTAATACTGTTGTATCCCCTTCCTAATATTTACTTCTCTACGGTAGATGTTCTACATATGACTATATACCTATTGCCTTTTATATGAACCGTATATCACTCTTCTACCCCTACATCCTAAGTGTTTTGAACATCTCTCATTTGCCATTGTCAAAAGCTTTTTCTACATCTACAAATCTTATTATGCACCCCTTACACCTCCTAAAATTTGTTCTGCTCTATTTCCTTATTTGTACGATTCTAATTCAGAGTTTTGATGCATTAAGAAGTTAAATTAATTGCTCTAGAATCCGCTCATTGGTTTAAGTGACTAATTAGTTTAAACAAAAGATCTCGAAACCTTTTGACCTGCCCGTATCTCATCAGTTCTTGGCGCCGTAATTTTTTTATTGCAAGCTCAAGCTCATCTCTTATTATAAAAGGTATTCTAATTCATCTACCTTCAAACTGTCTTTTTTCTAATACATTTCCTAACTCTTGTCTTACATGTAGGTTCCCTAAATATACTTTTCACCTATATTCGCCTTTTCTCCATTTTGTAGTAAAATAATTCCTGACTCGATCATTATATTATTACTCCTGTATTACTTCTTATCTGAAAATAGTGAGAAATAAGAAAAAAAATTACTAATTATTATTTGATTCCATGCTGGATGGCAGACTTAGTTAATTTGGTCAATATTCAGAACTTGGTATGTTTGCATACCAAGACGGTACAAATCTTGAAAAACAAGTACATATACCAAGAAATTGGTATATCTAACATCGCTGAGCTGTTCTTCACTTCCAAATGATTTCCCGGTTTATGTTTCATGTCCCTCTTCATCGGTCTTGCTCTTATATTTCCGTCTTCCCTCTTATTAGTCCCACAATTTCGCTTGTAAACTATACTAAAATGGTACTTATAACTACACTCGGTTAGACCCCCTCCGACTAAGATACCACAGATGCGCCAATTGTTATATGAGTTCGTGCAGGTACAGGTATATCGTCAATAACGAAAAATTAATATTGCCGTCTCGAAGCTACTTATTATTTTCCGCCACGAAAAATATTCGGACGAGTGTTTTAAGGACCAGGGATCTCTCGGAAATCTGTGTCATGCACCGAAAGTCAAATTTCGCAGCGGAACATAAAACATCAGCAAAACGCAGAAGCAAATGATCTCTTGCGAGTGAAATGTGTAATTAGGGCTGAAAAAGAACAGCAGCCCAAACAGTAACCCTGCAATTTGCGTCGCAGAAGCCGGTGTTTAAAGTAAAAATAAAATACGATTTTATAGCTAATCCGCTAGTTGGTATCATCCTCCAGCAGTGCTAGTTTAATTTTAAACGTTGGCATTGCCTTTTCATGTAATACCCATATTAATATTGGCGTAATGACATGCAAAAAGCGAATCAAAATTGGATTTTATTATTTTTTTACTGAGTAACTAATCTCAAAATAGTTAACTTTAGTTAGTTGGTTCCCCTTCCCTCTAAAATTTTGAGAAGTTAGTCATATATCATCACCACTATTTGATAAAAAAAACCAAGAGTTGTTTGACTTTAAAATCGCCTATTCATTCTATATATCGTCCTCTGCAAAATTAGATTACTTCGGGTAGATTTTCCGGTTTGCCATCATGTAATATTGGAGATAGCAATTAATAAAAATATAAAAATTATAAATTCACCTCTTGGAAAAATAACTTTTTACTAGTAGCTTAATAGATATAATATGTATTTTTATTGAAAAATATAAACGAAGCCACTCATAATTTGTCAAGAGGATTTCTGCTCCTCTTCGATAAATATTGTCGTAAAATTTTAAATATTTTTTATTGCAGTTAAAAACCGCTACTTTTTAAGAGAACTACTGTCAATTTTAGTGAATTCCTACAGGAGAGCCCACAGAATCTTAACGAAATCTGTTCTGATTTTGGGGTTGAAAAATAAATAGGTGGTGATTTAATTTCTAACTCTTAAATACAATATAGGCATGATGTATATGTATACCCTTCGTTTATTTTGGTATATTATTTTATTTACCATCATCAGGCACAGTCGGAAATTGTCGATGTATGGATACGATTTGTAATTTCATTTTAATCGTTGTCATTTTCTACTTTTAAATTTTAAACTATTAATCGTCGTAAAGAACATTTATGTAATTGCTATTGTTACATTAAATATGGATAATAAAATCGTAGTGGAGAGACATAAATTAAACTAGTGGTGGATAGAGAGATGCGACATAATAACTTAACCCGTCAAGATTCCGTTCTGAATGGGCACATCCGTTCTTTGAACGACTGTATTTTAATCGAAAAGATGTCTCGACTGTACTATACGAACGCTTTCGTTGTGTTTACAGACACTATAGCGAAGATCGCAGATTCTTTGTAATTTTGCACCTTCATTATTCATTGTGATTTCTCCTCACGGCAGACAGGAAACACGTAATCACCTAGTCCCTTGCCCGTCGCCAACTTGACACCTACATACCAATAAGCCAATTCACGGTCAATTTGGTCGCTAACCTTTCACAATAAAACACAAAATAAAAATAGAAGAATAAAAGACGACTGTATTGTTAAATCGTTAGTAATCTTTCAGAAAATCTGGTCGCTTTATCTTTAAAGGAGGACGAACAATTGATTATGAACTTTATCTGAAACATTTTGTAATTTTATAAAATTAATTTGTTTCAGTCATTTTGTAATATGAAATTGATTTGTTGGTTCACCTATAACAACATTTGATTGCGGCGATTGATAAAAATTAATACGTGGAAACAACTATTTGAATGAGCAAAGAGGTAGATCCGGGTTGATAGGTTGTAGTCAAAGTTATATCTTGTTCAATTCAATTGCTACTGAGACTCCGAAGTACAGTCTTCGACCTAGGAATCAAGCCCACTGAAGACGAGTGCCGAATTTTAGTCGCATCGTTTGGATTAGCGATGCAACGGAGTATCATAATGGAAACAGAAGTAAATAGTAAATTTTGCGGATGCGCAAGCGGAAGTGTAATAATTTTCGGTGATTCTTTAATGTAGTTATCGTGTGCTCTTTTTGCGAATATTTTGTTGCAAATTTTGCATTTAGCACTTGTATCATTAATATCAAGAAAATAATCCCAAATGGAACATCATTTTGGCTTCAAAATTACACTTTTAACTTAAAATTTACACCACTGAGCAAACTCATTACAAAATAAATAAACGCTATAGCTGCATCAGTATTCTCGAAATGAAGAACTGGCTAAGGGGAGCCGAAACTCTTCGACGTTTTTAGATTAAAGTAGGAAACTAATAAGAGAATAAAATTTGGAAAATATAAACACACAAAATACTAGGAAATAAATTTAGGTTTAGATCCTGAACTATAATAAAATTATTCACACAGGGACAATATTATTATTATACTTGTTTTATTGTTCCGATATATTGATTTTCCGAAGTTGAAGTTCCGATAAGCTTCTGTTATAAAAATACGGAACCAGATAAAGAAGTGGATGTGAAAATGTATGCGGAACTTCCGCAACTGCAGAGGTCTGTTGTAACACTAATTTAGATCTACAAGTTCCTTTAGATCACGGTCCAATAGCACGTATCTACCTCTTTGTCACTTCGATTCCGGTCGTGAAAGCCTTTGCCATTACAATAGTTTGAATATTACGAAATAACAGTAACAAATGGTATTGCAAAAGTTGGAAATATTGTAGTAAACGTGTATCTAACCGCGTAAGCCTACGCACATCTATTTTTGTTTTGCCTCCTGGCTAACGGTTTATTTTGTCATGTTCCATCTTATAATAAATGTTGCGACTTCCTACGATACCATAAACTTTATTATTTTTTTATTATTTTGTTGAATCGTAAATGCCATATGCGATAATTAAAATGCACTTTTCTTGCCTTAAATGTCATTAAAATATAAGTTTACCTTTTTCTTTGTTCGAAGTTGATTTTGGGATAGCATAGATTAATATCCATACAGCCTAATCAACTTGATGACATACCAAAGATAATCCTAAAGCGTCTTTTTTTTATATACTTACATCATGTGTTTGACAGCTGGGGAGAGATGTTTTAATTTACTCTGTGGTTTGTATGGGAAAAGAAAAGTGAGGGTTTTAAGTTTTTCTGAGCAATTTTTCTCTTCCTAAGAACCTTCCTCGGACTATTAAAAAAAAAAAAGGAAATCATTGGAATTGTTCCAGCCGTTTTCGAGTTTTGCGCTTAGCAATACATTTAGCGATTCATTTTTATTTATACAAATAATAGAAAATTAGTCTGTTGCACCTGAGATAGAATAGGAAATTGATTTTGTCTGATTTAAATTTTTTGTAAAGTATTATACTTATCGTTCGATTAAAAGTTATTGATGGGGGGATAAAAACTGTTCTAAAATATATTTAAATTTAATTATTTTCGGATTGCAAATTTCGCTTCTAATTCTAAATTAGCATGTATGCGGTTAGAAAAATACTCATAACCCTAGCAGCTGTTTTAACTAGATAAGTACAATATTTGTGCAAAAGTCTAATTAGAAATGACCAACTACTTTTATGGCGCCTGTTAAATTTATCCTTCTTTGTATCCCACTTATCCATATTTGTGTGTAGTTGTGTTACAGACAACATGTCCATTATACATTCCATTTGCATGAACCATCGCATGGTTCTTACGTACTGAGATTTTACCTATCTTTACTTGTACGTATCACCTTCCTACGTGTATTGTATTTTATGACACACAAAAGAGAGTTTAAGGTTATATAAAATTGATAAGTTAGGTATCGTCACGCGTATATGTACGTACTATACACAGTGTTCCGAAAACAGATTAGATTACTGTTCGCAAATAGTTAAGGATGTGGGTTGTTCTAGTTTTAGGGAAATGCGAAGTTTAGCTCAGGATAGGGAAGGCTGGAGGTACGTGTCCAACCAGTCTTAAGACTAACAAGCTTATGTTGATGATATAACAGCTAGGCACTTGCTAAACTTTATTACGGCAATACAACAACCTGGAATGGTATCTATTTGTTGTTAATTTTATTTAATTGGAACGATTGAAATTAAAGATTTATGAAAATCTGATTGTTTTAATCCTAGTTTATAAAACGATGCAGATTTTTCTAATTCACATTACGGCTCATCTTAATATGCATATAGGCATTCTCTGACTTACGATTTAATTTAATTTGCAGAATGAAACGTAGGTGGATTAACAGCGTATGTGGTTTACATTGCAAATATAAACATGTATTTTCAATTTGATATATAATTACTTTAGCATCAAACAAGTAAATGAAACCCTATTGTTGTATTGTTGATTAAACATTTATTTGCAAGAAGGCCTACATTACATTAGCCAATTTAAAAGTAATGATCAAACTTTTGTATTATCTTATCTCTTTATAAATTTCAATTATTTTGATTTAATTTTTATTAACTGTAACTTATACGACAGGTTATTCAAGGTAAACTTATTATTACCTCAGTAACATTTGGTGTACTATTTTTTTTTTTAATTTATTTATATGATTGGAGATGAGGGGTAGAAACTAAATGCTTGCTTAATTAATGTAGGTGCGACACCATATTATGTTCGGTGGTCCGCTGCGCAGTCGGTCATCGCGCAGTGGATCGCTTCATTTTAACTTTTATTTGTCATGATCGTTTTTGGACCCATTCGCTTCGGGTTAAGTTATTGTTCCTATCTCTGGTTGTATTTATTTAAACAACCTTTTTAATAAAATAATTCGAAGTGGTCTGTATTCTGTCGAAACTGCCAGGCGCGGATCGCGATTTTGATCTTTTTGGATCTCATCAGCGCGTCGCAGGCAGCTCCGANCCATTTAACGACCACTCTTTATAACGCCGAAAAATGTTCAGTCCCTTAAGTGTCGTTATATAGAGTTTACACTGTATTTCTACAAAAGTTATAAGCATATGGATTGAATTTACTCTTACCCTTGCTTCTTCATCTCTAAGTAAGACTTCTACTACATCTTGGCACGTGGTATCTGCAGCAACCCCCGATACCCATCGTTGCTCACCGCGCACCCATATTGGTAACTCTTCACCACTGCTATCACTTTCTACATCAGAATCGTCTAAAGTTTTGTTGTACTGTCGACTTTCTGTACACATCATCTTTACTATAAGAGAAATATTATAACTTGTAAAATCCTTTTTTAAATTTAGTCAAATAGTTCGTCATTTCGGAAACACGAGTGATAAGGAATTGGTATAATTATTAGAATATTTAATTGCACTTGAACAAATTGAAATGAGTTGAGAGTATCTATAAATTAATTTTTTTCCAAAAGTATATAATTTAGTTTAAGTGTTTTTGGAAGAATTATTACCAACATATTCAATATACAATTGGAAAATTATAATTTCTTTCCTCGAGCGTCTAGCTGTCACATCTACATACATCGAAAAATGTTTAAAATAGAGTTATGAAAACTCGAGAACTTACTCGAAAAAAAAAAAAATTAGTTTGACTCTATATTTCAACCATGTGTTATCTAGACATAGAAATAAAAGAACGCTTACTCCAAGAACATTCTTGTAGATCCCTTTTTCCAAACGGGGGTAAAAATTCTTTTTTTTTATATTTGATGTTAAAATCTAGTAAGGCAAATTGAAAGTTACAAATGCAAAAAATGTTTTGTTCCAATAAAAGAATATATTAAACTTGCTTCAAATAATTAATAATTTAACTCATAAATCCACTAGAAGTAATAAATAATTCTTCGTTTGGTCTTGTGTATTTGGCTTTGGTCTAGCATATCCAGTCTTGGTTTTAGTCTTCGTTCGGTCTTTGGTTTTTTGAAAATTGAAAAAACCATTACCAATTTGGCTCATAACTAATGAAAATTAGTGTTAAAGTGTTTTGTTTCCAAATGAAATGTTTTTCATATGGTGGAAGAACTATTACCAACATGCGTAACCTCATCCGATATGCTGTAAAATTATGCTTTCTTCCATTGAGCATCCACAGGTCACGCTTACGTCGAAAAATGCTTAAAATAAATCAACACGTTTGAAAAATATTGCTAGTATAGTAAGATTTCTTCCATTGCAAACAAAATTATCATTAAGGTCACTGTATTTTTCGTTCCATTCTTGTGCCAAAAACTAGTGAAATAGAATAGAATCCTGGAATGTAGTGTATTCTCACTTGTATTATGTAAACCTCTAAATACTGAAAAACAATTTGGTGAAACCACAAAATTGCAGCGACTTTAATGATAATTTTTGCAATGGCAAGAAATCTTACTATACTGACAATATTTTTCGAACGTATTGATTTATTTTAAGTATTTTTCGATGTAGGCGTAACCTCTGGATGCTCCATGGAAGAAAACATAATTTTGCAGCATATCCGATGAGGTTACGCATGTTGGTAATAGTTCTTCCACCATATAAAAAACATTTAATTTGGAAACAATACAGTTTACCACTAATTATCATTAGTTATGAGCCAAATTGGCAATGGTTTTTCAATCTTGAGACCAAGATCAAAACTGTCTTTATACAAGCAAGCTCAAGACGAAGACCGAACGAACAAGACCGAATATGCAAGACCAAAACCAAACACACAAGACCAAACGAAGAATTATTACTTCTCGTGGATTTATGAGGTAAATTATTCGAAGCAAGTTTAATATATTCCTTTTCTTGGAACAAAACATTTTTTGTATTTGAAAGTTTCAGTTTGCCTTACTAGATTTTAACATCAAATATAAAAAAAAAGAATTTTAACCCCTGTTTGGAAAAAGAGATCTACAAGGATGTCCTCAGAGTAAGTGTTCCTTTATTCCTATGTTTGGATAACACATGGTTGAAATATAGAGTCAAACTAATTTTTTGTTTCGCGTAAGTTCTGGAGTTTTCATAACTCTTGCAACTATCAAAAAAAATCAAAACAGACTACGACGTAACACGCAAGATCAAGACAAAGAACGAGACTACATTAGTAAGACCAAGATTAAGTCTAATGGAGCACTAAAATTTTAATTAGAGAACTAAATTGTATTTTGAATCGCTTTGTGATTCTGTGATGTGGGGTGCTTGCTTGATAGACATAAATAGGGAACTTTTAGTTCTTTAGTGTAAAAATCATAAATAATGCACATTTGGTGGAGGTGCGGGACATAGATTATTTAGTACTGCAAAATTAAAATACTGGTGAAATTTATTATCTATTAGATGATTAATATGGTATAGAAACTGTTAATTAGGTGTTGTCTTATAGGTATTGCGCTAATTATTTTAGCACTTTATTCTTATACAACCATACAATAATTTTAATTGGTTTCCCGCTGTATTCTACATTTAAAAGATTAACAAATTTATTGGATTAATTGAGTGCGTTATTTGTCCAATTAGCGTAACAGAATAAAGTTGCAAATATTAGAATAAGCGTAATATTAATACGTTAATACATATTAAATGCTAATTGTAAAATGTAAAAGTAGCCGACCTTTACAAAATCAGTTTTAGACATAAACAATGATTTTTACAAATGACGTAGGTACGCTATAAGTTTTTGATAAAAAGGCAACTACTTACTGTTAATTTATGTTCGTACGGTACGCGTTGTGTAAGGTGGTTAATTAATCAGTAATGACTTTTTTAATATATTATAAAGAAATAATGAAAAAAATAATTGCCATTAATCAAGTGCGAAACAAGTGTAAAAAATTACACATTTAACCACGTTCTTGTCATTCTTACATAAATAAATATCCGACAATGTCTTTTGAAGTATGGTAATTCCGACAGGACAATTGATTTAATTAAGTAATGATTGTGTACAACTAATTAAATCAATCACAATATTTTTATACATGTAGCGCGTATACGTCAGTCGTCAACAGGTTAAGCAGTTTTTAAAAGTTACCCGTTAATTAATTGGTTGTGTTCATGTTACCGTTAAACTGTGTAAAACATAATATTGCAATGTGTCTCGATAACTGTTTAACTAATTAAAACTTTTTTATAAATAACTTGCATTAGTAAAGAATCATTGTATTGCTTTTTTGTTCATTACCCCAGTATTTACTTACTTTATTTCATAAAATTTATTATCCCATCTTAACGGGTGCAAAAATTATTATTGATTATTATTTTGAGACTTTTCCTACATATATTGTTTTATTTTTATTAATTTTGTCATTTCATTTAATATGAAGATTGGAAAAACTTTGGCGGTTGTTGTAGAACAAACAGAATAGCTCAAAACCCCAACGCCAAAACACGACACTGNCTTAGTTTACTTCAGTCCCTGAAGAAGGTAACTTTGTTACCGAAAAGTGCTTCGGACAACTACAGTGTCGTGTTTTGGCGTTGGGGTTTTGAGCTATTCTGTTTGTTCTATTTCATTTAATGCTAACTCTAACTTCTCCATGCTATGTGCTAATACTGTTGTATCCCCTTCCTAATATTTACTTCTCTACGGTAGATGTTCTACATATGACTATATACCTATTGCCTTTTATATGAACCGTATATCACTCTTCTACCCCTACATCCTAAGTGTTTTGAACATCTCTCATTTGCCATTGTCAAAAGCTTTTTCTACATCTACAAATCTTATTATGCACCCCTTACACCTCCTAAAATTTGTTCTGCTCTATTTCCTTATTTGTACGATTCTAATTCAGAGTTTTGATGCATTAAGAAGTTAAATTAATTGCTCTAGAATCCGCTCATTGGTTTAAGTGACTAATTAGTTTAAACAAAAGATCTCGAAACCTTTTGACCTGCCCGTATCTCATCAGTTCTTGGCGCCGTAATTTTTTTATTGCAAGCTCAAGCTCATCTCTTATTATAAAAGGTATTCTAATTCATCTACCTTCAAACTGTCTTTTTTCTAATACATTTCCTAACTCTTGTCTTACATGTAGGTTCCCTAAATATACTTTTCACCTATATTCGCCTTTTCTCCATTTTGTAGTAAAATAATTCCTGACTCGATCATTATATTATTACTCCTGTATTACTTCTTATCTGAAAATAGTGAGAAATAAGAAAAAAAATTACTAATTATTATTTGATTCCATGCTGGATGGCAGACTTAGTTAATTTGGTCAATATTCAGAACTTGGTATGTTTGCATACCAAGACGGTACAAATCTTGAAAAACAAGTACATATACCAAGAAATTGGTATATCTAACATCGCTGAGCTGTTCTTCACTTCCAAATGATTTCCCGGTTTATGTTTCATGTCCCTCTTCATCGGTCTTGCTCTTATATTTCCGTCTTCCCTCTTATTAGTCCCACAATTTCGCTTGTAAACTATACTAAAATGGTACTTATAACTACACTCGGTTAGACCCCCTCCGACTAAGATACCACAGATGCGCCAATTGTTATATGAGTTCGTGCAGGTACAGGTATATCGTCAATAACGAAAAATTAATATTGCCGTCTCGAAGCTACTTATTATTTTCCGCCACGAAAAATATTCGGACGAGTGTTTTAAGGACCAGGGATCTCTCGGAAATCTGTGTCATGCACCGAAAGTCAAATTTCGCAGCGGAACATAAAACATCAGCAAAACGCAGAAGCAAATGATCTCTTGCGAGTGAAATGTGTAATTAGGGCTGAAAAAGAACAGCAGCCCAAACAGTAACCCTGCAATTTGCGTCGCAGAAGCCGGTGTTTAAAGTAAAAATAAAATACGATTTTATAGCTAATCCGCTAGTTGGTATCATCCTCCAGCAGTGCTAGTTTAATTTTAAACGTTGGCATTGCCTTTTCATGTAATACCCATATTAATATTGGCGTAATGACATGCAAAAAGCGAATCAAAATTGGATTTTATTATTTTTTTACTGAGTAACTAATCTCAAAATAGTTAACTTTAGTTAGTTGGTTCCCCTTCCCTCTAAAATTTTGAGAAGTTAGTCATATATCATCACCACTATTTGATAAAAAAAACCAAGAGTTGTTTGACTTTAAAATCGCCTATTCATTCTATATATCGTCCTCTGCAAAATTAGATTACTTCGGGTAGATTTTCCGGTTTGCCATCATGTAATATTGGAGATAGCAATTAATAAAAATATAAAAATTATAAATTCACCTCTTGGAAAAATAACTTTTTACTAGTAGCTTAATAGATATAATATGTATTTTTA